CACAACAGAGAGGTTTCACCCTGTAAATCTGGAGGAGTAAGAGGACAAAGCAAAAGCAAAAGAACCATGTGTGAAGTATTCTGTGTGCAGGGGTGCACAAGTTAGGGAGCTCATGTCAAGAGAGGTCTGTGAGAATTCTCCCCTCATCCACAATCTTGATAGGACTTCAAGGAAGGGAAGACCCACTGCTGGGTAAAATTTCTCAGCAAAGTCTCCAGTAAAGAGCGAGGCTGTACAAAAAGCAAGAAAACCTTGAGAAATTGCAGAGAAAAATAACTTTTTCAAATCAACTAAACTAAAGCAACTGCCTCCAGCTTTCCAAGTGGCTTTCTAACATGGAGTAGGAAATAGAACTGTGGGGATACGGTAAGAACTGAGTGCCAGTGACTCAGAACACATGACAGCAGGCAGAATTTTGCATAACAGAGGGGTGAAGTAAGCAAGTCAGCAAGATGAGTGCTGGAGTGTCTTTCTCCTAAATACACAGAAAGTGCAACACAGAAATACCAAGATAATTATTCCCAACAGAGAAGATCCACTGGATGAAAAAAAATCCCCAAGCTGTCATTCAGCTTCTACAAATGAGGGGCATGATGTGAAAAACAGTGATAGCTAAACATTTATCAGCTGAACCACATATTAAATAAGTTTCTTTAACTTTGTCCAGGTTTCAAATGGTCTAAAGAAAGCATCTGTTCTTAATTTGAAGAGTATCAAATACACTGCCTTAGCATAAATTATTTCTTTTTAAAATAATTTAAAAGTATTTTCAGCTGCTGAATGCAACATCATTGGAAGAGGAAGCAACAAAATAATCTGGCTACATGAAACTACAAAAATGGCTGCAGCAACACATCATTTCAAAGGAAGTCATCATTAAAATCTAACCATTGCTTTTGAGCTAGAACTCAAAGAGTAGCAGAATGATAAACAGAGACAGGTTACTTTCCTGGAACTGTTCTTTAAAATGGCTTACCTGTTTGTACATTTATACTGAGATTATCTGTATGCAAGCTCTCAGGTAAATTTTACCATATGAGTTTCCTCAGTATTGTACTTCAAGCCTCCTGCAACTGCAGCAAAAATAAAGGCAGCAAAGCATCCACTTCTCCATCTCAAGCTTCCTCTTAATTAAAGAAGCAGAAGAGGTGGACTTTAGGAGAGAGGCTGTGAGCATATTGCACATACTGATAACACAGCCTGAAGACATTAAAAAAGTTGCAATATGTTTTTTCTTTGCAATATTCCCTTTTTCTTCTTGAAGTTCACAGAATCATAGATTTATTAGAGTTGAAAGGGGCCTTTGAAAATCTCCTAGTCCACCCCCCCACCAAGGCAGGGTCACCTAGAGTAGGTTACACAGGAATGTGTCCGTGTGGGTTTTGAGTGTCTCCAGCGAGAGAGAAGTTCAATACTCTTCCAAGGGTTTTGAGAAAAGGCAGTGCTTACCTGGTATACCAGCAATGACAAGAGGCTTAGGAGGCTGCATGCCTGCAATCACTAGAGCCTCAGCACAAGGAGCCTTTGTAAGAGATGGAAATAAGCAATTTGACAATATTACTGCAGTGGAGAGACCAACAGTTCGTGGACCTTTCAGACTTGGATAGATGGAAAAGAGGATCCCTGCAAGGACTCAGGTCTCGCAATACAAAAATGTAAACCCTTCTGTCATCTAGCATGGGAAAGAGTTATCTTTGTGAAAAAAAAAGCATAGGCAAAACAGTTTCCTGAACAAAGGTAAGAAAAAGGTAGCTCGCTGCCATGAAGAATTGTCCAGAGAGGTTCAGGAACTGAATCTCACTGGCCCTTCTGGTAATAACCGAACTCTCTTCATGGAAGGAGATGTAGATCAGAGAGTCCAAGCTGCAGGAGGGCAGTAACAAAAGAAAGCACAGCTTGATTCCACTCTTTGGAAACACATAAGAATTAGACAGCAACTGCAGTGTCACAGAATTCTTGCCATTCCTTACCTCATTCCTGTACTAATTAAGAGTCTGAACAGTGGGACTACATGCTTAAACACACACACACACACACACAAATTTTCCCATTTCCTTCCACACTATAGGTGTGTTTCCCACACCCATAGTGTGGAAGAAAATTGGAAAATTTCGTGAATGCAAATTAGCAATAGTCCAGGGCAATAGATAAGTTATTAAAACACTGAGTCAACTTGGAATTTATCACCAACTCTGGTTCTACAGCTTTTCTTAAGACTGTTGCTTATTGCCTTTGCTTTCTAGGTTTTTAGATACTTAATTTAATACGGCAATAAAGTAGACGCTTTCTAGTCCCTGTGGGTTGATGACCAATATCAAGAATCAAAACAGTGACACCCAATTCTGGATGTACAAGCTTCTGTTGCCCAAGCTACAAGAGCCAGGCAAGCACAAATCCTCAAGGAAAACAGTAACTGCTTGTCCACATTAGCAGGCAATGCAGAGCCACCAGAACACAAGGATAGAACAGAACAGCCAACACTAAGGACCCCCACGTCTTCAGAGACACAGACGTACACCCCACAAGCAGCTGCCCCAGTCCCAGTCTCGCCAGCCACTGGTACTGGAGCTCAGTCCCACTCCAGCCGCTGGACCCACACTCCAGTCACAGGCACTATGGACACGCAGGCACCTGTGACCTATGGTCACACTCCCAATGCTGACACTTGAGTTTTCTCACTCTGGTCTTCCCCACTGCTTCACCACAGACTCCCCTCTGTGGTCTGGCTCCAGCTGCTGGGCTCAGACATCCCTGCAGCTCCAGAACTGAGTTCCTCAGGCAGAAAGGGACTTAAAAATAAAGCAAGAGGCTGTGCTAGGCACAGACAGACTGGCACACTGATTGATCTGCTATTTATATATGACCCACTCTTTTTATCTCCATATTCCTCTATTTTCCCATGCTTACTCCTCTCCAGGTCACCTAAACTTCTCCCTTTCCCTGTCCTTTTTTGCTTCACTGTGCATCCCCCAAGTCCTGCATCCTGCTTGGATTTAAAGGCATATTCCTATCTTCTTCACCCCTCATTTAAAAATCTACATACTTGATATTCTATAAAATTGAGTATGTGCCTGATTCTTTAACTGCTTACACAGATTTTCTGCTACTGGCAGGTGGGAGAGCTCTTCTCATTTTCCTAATTGAGCTAATTAGAAACACATTGTGAGGATGCCGACTCTTCATCTCTAGTGAGAAATCTTCTAATACAAATAAACACTGCAATCTTGCATAGGAACCTATCAGTATGGTTTGCTCTGGCTTTTTTTTTTTTTTCTTCTTCTCAAGAGAGGTAATGATTTCAGGTACCATTTCACCTCAGAGGCTGGGGATTTAAATCTAATTTTCAAGAAACTCTGAGGAAGACTTAAGGGTGTGGGTTTCTTGAACATGACTGGATTTTATTTGCAGTCCAGACAAGTTGACAAAGGAAATGCTATGCCAGTTTTTTTTGTTTTTTTTTTGTTTTTTTTTTTTCTCCAACCTAGAAGACCTGGAACAACTCCAGACCCTCCAAGACAGAACTTCAACACTCAAAACCCCAGCAGTCCATCATGTTGGTACAGGGTTTTGCAGTTGTGCCCAGTTACCCTTCTTCAGCAAAAACATAAAACACTGCTAAGTCCAGTTAAAAAATTATGGCTTAGCTGGATAGATAAAAAAAGCTAGTAAGAGCACTGAGTGAGAGATTTGGAATTTCTGATTTCCTATTTAAAAGGAATCTATCTTCTGTCAGGACCACCCTTATGCTATACTACAATTACTGGGTACATCACTGTGCATCAGTTACCAATGTCACAAAAACTGACAGAAGGAAATTTGTAGTACTTACTCGGTACCGCATAGAAGTGGTTTGTTTATATACTCATTAGTTATGCTGCACCTATAGAAAGTATTGTTTGGCTGCAGTGGGTATTAAAAACAACTTCCTTCAAAAGTCCCAAAAAATTTTTATTTTAAAAAATAACGTTACTGTGCAAAACAGCCAGCTGAAAGTCTGCCACTCTTATGCTGACTTGCAATCCAAATCAGCACACAGATCTCCCGAATTCAGTGTCTCCTCAAAACGATCCTAAAACATCCTAACATTTAAGTTACTTATGGTAATTGTTTGCTGTTTATGAATTTTTAGTTGTTAGGCTCAGGCCCTCAAAGCAGAGAAATGACTTCATGAAAACTAAGTTTGGTACACAGCAACATTGCTGTGTTAGTTCCAGGCCACCCATTTCCTCTATTAGTAAATGCAGTAGAGGGATTCAGGATTTTACTGAGTTTTGGTTGCTTGTGTGGGTAGCAAAGGTTTTCATTTAGCCTCTCATGGGAGAGGGACATGTTCTCACCAAAATAACCATAGCTCCTGTAAAAGCATTTGAAAGGAATGCAGTATTTTGATGTAGCCATAGGCTTTCTCTGGACACTTATGGCTTCCCACTGTGGAGAAAGTTTGCTGAAAGTAATAATTTTTGGTAATTCTGTCTAAGCCAAAACTGAAGGATGAACCTAAACTTATATGAGGGCAAGATGTCCTATTTTTGTTTTGTCCAAATATCCACTTTCCTTCAGAAATGTAACACCAGCCCGAAACTGAATTTTGCACAGAAACACTCCACTCCAACACAAGCAGATTTTACTTTCAGTTATGGGATGCACTGAGGTACTGAGCTGCTTAAACAGACTAAAACAGTCTTGTTATTTTTATGCAAATATAAATGCAGAGAGGGAAAATTTGTCATTACTAATTCTGTCCAGGAGATGAGAGACATTAGCAATGTTCTTATACCAACATTATTGTAGGAGGCAAGGAAGAGCAGGCACTTTAGCATTATGCACATAGCACAGATGAGGTGGATTGCCTCAGCAGAAGCAAATCCTTTTAACATTTTTGTACTAGAAGATATTCCTTCTGAGGAAAGGAACTCATAATAAACACACATATTAACAGGAACATCACACACAAACCTGTATCTACCTGCAACTTCTTGTTCTGAAAGACAACTCATGCATTTTGAAAAAAGTTATTTATTTTCACTGCTTTAATCTCTCTACTGTAGTGTTAGCACTTAACATAAGCATCCACTCTTCTACTGTCCTATTTACAATCCATTGAAATGTATACTCTACAAATACAATACATATTTTCAGAAATGTAAGGGAAATGCACAATTTGGTAAGGTTTAAAAAAGTGACTCTCATCTGTACAGGATCCTCAAATCATCCAAAAAGTAAAATTTACAAGGCAGTATCCACACAGCTATGTAAGGGCAGGTGCTACAGTGACAAAGCAGCAAACTTGCTAATACAATAAAATACAGAAAATAAAGTGTTTTGGGGCACCAAATAATACACTTAGTACCACTGATGTAGTAAATTTAGTAATATCCATATTTCTAGAAACATGTAACTGCAAACCTGGAGAACATTCTGAAAAATATTAAACATTATATACACATGAGGTAAATGTACCTTGGTCTTTTAAGAGGTAATTTGAGTTTAAAGCAACGGATATGGTGAAGAGATTTTTTCTGTTTGCTTGTTTTTTTAAACACAAAATGATTAACACCTTGCAATCATTTCAATGGCACAATATAAACAAGGAACTAACTAAAAAGGTGAATTTCATGGCAATCGCACTCAGAGCCATTACTGAGAAAATAAAATAGCCTCTTACTTCATTTGACACCTTCATGTCCCCATACAGTCAATACCAACATCTTTATTTATATACAAAGTCTTTCTTAGGATTACAAGCAGAACCATAGGAGGGTGACAGTGTGTCATACTTGGAGAGTCTGCTTGAGAAACATCCCAGAATTCCAGCTTTTAAGGTTGGAAGGTCCCTGAAGAATTCCAGCATTTCAAAAATGACATTTTAGGTTTTTCAGCATCAGACCATTTCCAATGCTTCTTGTTCTCTATGTCTATATCCATCTGGTCACAAGTCTGTAAATCAAACTGAGGCTTCAATGCTACTAAAATGTAAAGTTGATTGAATCAAAAAAATTCAAGTGAATGTATAATGTATGTAATATTTACAATAAACATTTGCATCAGTATCACTCAGAAAGTGTTTTGGTATATACTTGAAATGATACAAAATTAATATTTTGAATGCTAAAATATTTTGGTCCCCCTGGATTTCCAAGAGCAGATCTGGTGATATTACAATCTTAATTTAAAAAATACTTATGTGTACCTGTGTCCATATATATAAGATATGATCTTACACAGGTAACATTTAAAGTTACATAATATATACAGACACAGCCTTTGTAAAAGGTGTTCAGTTCATATAATGGAAAAGAAGAACAAAGCTTGAAGTCGTGGTGTCAGAAAAGCACTGAGAATACATATAGCTCTACTCAGAATTTTCCTGTTCTGCAGCCCAATAGGAATGATAAGGTTGTTCTAAAATACTGTTCCTTAGGTCATATACAGTGTCAAGCATCCCTCTGTGCTTTGTTTTTGCAAGCTTCTATCGCAAAGCTAAATTTTGAACAAAGTAAGAACAGTTGCTAGCCATTTAGGAGAGTGAAGATTTGCAGGTGGTTGATACAATATAACACACAGTTATATTGTTGACAGAATCATCTGCGTGCCATGATGCTGTTCAGCTGCTGTACATCCTCTTTAAAATGCAACAGAACTGTTCTGTATATTTTAGGAAATTAAATGTTTTTCCAATAAGGTTTTGTGGATGTTAAAAGAGCCACTAAAATTATTTGATTAATTATACTGTAAACACTCCTGTTCCCACAAAAATTACTGTAGAGATCTGAGGCATGCCAGGAACCTGATACTTCTGAAGTAGTAGCTGTACCATTTGTATCTATGGTAAGGACCACAGGGCACCTATGAAAACTTGAAATGTAACAAAGTTACAAAACAAAAAAGTTAAATTGCAAACTAGGAAGCCTTTGAAATTAGACGGAGACCCTGACCTATTTTCGTGATGACCTGTTTTTTTTTAAGTATCTGTACAGATACATAGAACTTGCTAGAAAGATTGCCAAGTAGACAGGCTTGGAAGTTATATTGTATTCAAACTTTCTTTTTTTTTTTTTTTGAACAGTTAATTGAAAATCTCTGTGGAGCACAATTGTCCATGTGCACAAAGGGATAGTTTATTTAAAATACCTACATGAAGTAATTTTTAATCTGGCTTTGATTGACAAAGCCTGAAGCACATAAGCCTGACCTGTCAGATAATGCCAAACATAAGCGTGACAGCTGTATGTATGTTTAAGCCTAATTGGTTTCTAAGAACTTCTCTTATTTTTCCCTTTTCTCCTGGATACTGTCTTGCAGTTTGACCTCTGAGAGTCTGTAATTCTGACATAATTGAAACTTCTCTCCAAGCAAGCAGTAAGAATATGGAAATAAACAAAAATCAACTCTTAAGGCTTTTCTTGGGTAAGGCTTGTGTCACCTATGCAGCCTCTTCTTCCTGGGCCTCATTCCTCTTCCTGTTTGAGCTGCCACACATCACAGACCATGGCACAGAAGCTTGACTGTGCTGCTACCAGCAACTGCCCTGCCACTGCCACCATCTTGGCAGCAAACTCTCAGCGGGTTCTACGCCAAGGGATGAACAGGAAGCCAAGTTAAAGGTTGCCATGTATGTTGTGCAATGCGATGGGCACTGATGTGTTCTGAAGAGTGGCAGGTTAGGCAACATATTAATTACCACACACATTTACATACTAAAACACTACTGTTTTGGACATCAATGAAACACCACAGGTCAACCAGATCTTACTAAAGTTACAATAAAAAAATATCCTGGTGTCCTAGGTTGATAAGGAAGTGACTTTTTTGGGAGGTTGTGGTCAAACCAATCATCTGCATCATGTAAGGAAGATGTCACAAGGGCAGATTTTCTCCAGGTGGTGCCATGTGCGACGTGGAAACACAAGAAGTTACAACTGTGTTTCCTAGGGAACCTATGGTATACAAGGGACTCCTCTCTCCCTTGATAAACTAAGAATTGATTATCTGAGGGGTGGTGATGAACTGAGAACTGATTATCTGAAGGATGGTAACTTGATTGAGAATCCGAGGCTTTGTCTCACTGTACTGTGTTAAAAATTGAGTGAGGAGGAACATTTTAGAAGGTTTTCATTCTGAGTTATGTGTGTGTTCCATTTTACATATTGTAGCTTAATAAAGCTTTTTCCTTCATTCCTAAGCTAGAGCCTGCTTTGCTCTATTTTTAGTCACATCGCACAGCAGACACTAGAGAGAATATATTTTCATGGGGGCATTGGCATTGTGCCAGCATCAAACCATGACACCTGGTAACAGCAGGTTTTTGTTGTACATTTGGGTAGGAAGCAATTTAACTTCTAAACAAGTTTGTGACAACATTATGATGCTCTTGAAAACTTAGGGAAATCTTGACTAAAGCCATGCATATTCTTCTGTGTTCTTATGACAACACACATCACCTTAAGCTTTGTTCTTCTAACAATGAAGAGGATTGCTGGAATCCCCCAATATTTGTGTCCAAAGACCTGCAGCTCACCACCTTCTCTAGCTCACCACTTTGTGTATGAGGCACACACAACATACATGTACATAAAACTTATAAGCAACTTTGAACTGTCTAGTACAAAAGCCCAAATAACTTTTCTCTAATGACAAGTGCATTAAATCATTGTGTAATTGCAAATATTGTTCCTTGAGCCTTAAGACTCGGCAGAACTGCACAGAAAATATGCTTTTCATACTTATTTAATGAAGGAAAATCTCCCTTAACATTTTATTTTTCTTGCTACTTTTCTGAAGTAGATAGGTACTTCAAGCATTTTAGAAGTACCACTTGATAAAAAAAATCTACATAATTATGACTCGTAACTTGACAATTACAAAATATGACAGTGAATTTACTAGCTTACACTATTTAAAACTCCTACAGTGGTTTTAAGAGTCAGATTTTGGTAAAATTGAAGACATTTTATCTGTTATGTACTCACTGTTGCAATGAGCGAGATTTAGCACTTAGCTAGGCAAAGGAACAACTTTTAACTTTTATTTTTGAAACCAAAAGTACCATAGGCTTTGTACATCCCTACTACTTTGCATTAAAAGACTCAAAAGTGGCACTTATTGGTGTAATACAATCTATTTTGAAGGCAATGTAATGTTCTGAAAAAGTGGAAAAAACCCGGAAATCATGTACAAAGTACAGTTGCATAAGTTATGTTCCCAAAACTGAATGAGGTCAATTTATAAGTCACGGTAAGAGTCCAAAAGATGCACTACCTTAATAGTTGGCAAGGTATACTCCAATAGTACATTCACAATCTGAATCCAGGAATCGAGACAGTGGTTCAGAGTAGTCAATGTACCAGGCAGCAATAAAGTTGCTTTAAGAGCCATCAATGCACTGTAGAACAATACAGCAAACCAGTTTCAGTTTAGAAGTGACCTCCTACTTTTAGTACAGCTAACTAGCAAAGACCAGCTATCAACTTCCCAAATAAAAAAATTATAGATTAACGAAACTAGAGTACATGATGTTTTATAAGTAACCTGGGAAAGAGGTTCATAGTGCACAGAAAGACCCAACACAACTGTTTAGCACATCCACAAAAATCCTAAGCGACGTTCCTATGAAGTACTAAAAGGCAGCAATATCCTTCTGTTCCCCCAGTGAGGTAGAACAATTAACCTTCTTAACACGCCACTCTGGTGCAGATAGGGATTTTTACAGTGTTCTTCGGTAGCAAATCCAGGATTACATCTTGATCCCCTCCTGTTGACTAAGTTGTGATAATGTTTTCTTAATGCGCAAAGCTGTCAGCCGAGCGGCTCCGTTGGCATACCAGCATTCCCGCATAATTTTTGCCATCACTCGTAATGCCTGCAAAGGAAACACAAGTCATTATATGTACTGCTGTTCCAGTGTAGCCCGTGTAACTGCTGCTCTGCCTTAGACTCTTCAGGCATTTCTGACTGAAGTCCATTACCAGTACTACAGGTGCATAGGAGAGTGCACTGTTAAAAAAAAAAAAACAAACCAAAACAAAAAAACCCTTACCGTATTTACAGAAAAGTAAAACTCTCTAAACACTGTAGAGCAAACCTGATACTTTTCAGTAGAGTTCTGGCCCATGAAAATAATATTTTAATAAAAATTTATTAGCTTGTCTGTAACAGTTTTCCAAATTTTCACATCAGACAAAAATACACTCTTTTTAATTGTACTTGCAGTTAAGGAATTACTTCAACACACAGCAATTAAGTTCAAGAGCTGTCCTCCTCAAATTGAAACTCTGTAAGGATTCGAAAAGTTTTTGAAGTCTTTTTATCCATCAAACAGCCATTCTTTGAAATCTGAGTCCTTCTACATGTTGTTCGCAACAAAGCAAATAACAAAAATGGCAGATTAAATGAAGTAACAGCTCCAAAGTACTGTGAAAGCTGTATTACCTTAGTCATTTTAATCCTGAAAACTACCTGTCTCACAGTTTGTTGGCGCATTCACCACCTTCCTCTCCCCTTCCTGTGCACTGCTGCCAAACTCTTAGCCATGCATTCATTCCACACACGCCACAACCCATGTTCCCTCCTCTATCGAAAGCACCTCATCCTTATCAGTACTTCACTGCTCCTGCAGCCCACTGAAGAAGTTGCCCCAAGCTGTGAGTCACTGGCTGTGACAGAGCAATGCTATGGAATATTCCCTCTGACCAGTTTGGGTCAACTGCCCTGGCTCTGCTCCCTCTCATGCCCTTGTCCACCTGCAAGCTACTTGAGAAACAGAGAATGCCTTGAAGCTGTGCAAACACTGCATAGCAACAGCTAAACCAGCAGTGTGCTATCAGACTGTTTTGGTCACAAATCCAAACCACAGCATCGTGCAACCTACTATGAAGCACATTGTTTCAATCCCAGCCAGACAATTTATTTGCAATGATGCTTCCCACATAAAGGAATTTAGACTAGCTGTAATTTATATTAACATCATCTGTGCTTCACAGGAAGGGATCATAGAATCCTCCATGCAGAGTTAGCTATGAACTTCTACAAAATTACATTTAAATACTTATGCATAACCAAGGAACAATGTTTTTAATAAAACCATAATGATTAGAATGAAATTAAGTTCTCCTAAAGGCAGCTCTTCTCCCTTCAACAATAAGCATGATTTTTAAGCCACTGAAAGCACTAAAAGCTCTAGTGTTCATTAAAGCAGCTTTAGCAAAGTTAGTTAATACCTCACAGCTCTGCCATCTGTTTGGAATATTGGGCCTTAACTTCTGTTCACACACAACTTTCCTCATTTCTTCAACAGAAGGGTCTGAAGGAACAAGGTCATAGTATGGCAACTGGTAATCTTCGTGGATTCCTGCAACAGGTTAAAAATAGCTTTATTTTAGCTAACACTGGATTACATATCCTTCACTTTTTACTGTGTTCCTTATCAGTACCCTACCAGGTTTTGGTTTTCATTTTTAAAAGTTACATCACAAAAACTGACAAATAAGTAAAGGAAAATCCTTAACCACACCTTAGGAGTGTTTACATTACCGTTCAAGGATCTAAAATTTATAAAACTGGAATAGATATAAGCTACATCAAATCTTTCACATGCTATACTAAAAACATGCTTCTTTAGAGTACATGATTTATAACAGCATGCTTCATTTTAAATAAGATATAGATTTATCTGAACACAATATAGCTAGGTCTTGTGGTATTTGCCTCTTGCTCACAAAGCTATTATATTTTACCCTTTTCTCCCCTCTATGTAAATATTTGGAAAAAAAAGAATATTTCCTATTTTGTTCAACAAGTTTGGTCTGTCAATCTAGAAAGAGGTTGAATAAACCAGTTATCATTTACAGGATTAACAATTATAAAGTCTGAGATCCACTGGCTATTATTTTGCACTGTTTTTTGAGCAAACTGTTTTCAGAAACTGAATAAGTTTAAGTTCCTTATAATTCTTTAAAACGTCCCATTTTATAAAGATTGCCACGTACCACCAATTGAACACCGCCGAGCTATTTCCCAAAACACTAATCCCATTGCATAGATGTCTGCTCGTTTGAATGACTCAAAATGTTTCATATTTATGGAATCATCTAGGACTTCAGGAGCCATGTACCTGTGTGGAAAAAAAAATTATTTCATAAACACTTAAGAGTAGAAAAAGTTCAGCACTACTGATCAGCTCAAACACAAAACAATGTATTTTTGTGGAGAAGGAGATAAAAGAAAAATCTGCTTCATTAAGATTATCCAATCAGAGACAATTCAATGTAAAGGGATAAGTAAACAGAGAAACAAGCAGAGAAATAGGCGGAATAAGTAAAATGTGAAACAAACAACTAGAGCTATAAACCTGATAGAGAAGGCACAACTGAGACAGTGACAAAGACTGGAAGTCTCCAGTTCTTCACTGACAGGCTATTAAGAAACTCTAGGCATAACTTTATAGAGGTGCAGTCTGCACCTTGTGACCCCTAATACATTGGAAAGAAGAACACCACAGGGACTGAGCATATTGAAGGAAGGCCTGTGCAACTACACAATGCTTATCAAGGAATGTTCAGGACAAGAGAACAGAAGTGCAGCAACAGATAGAAAAGGGTAGCAGAAGGACCTGCTGCATAAAAGGTTGCCAGTCTCACCATGCTCACCTGTATATCCTATTTTATTAAATCCTAACTATTCTGTGCAATCTCACTCTCAAGCCCATGTGCATGTGCTCTCTAAGAACTGTGTGCCACCAGCTGGAGGCAGGCATGAGTCTGTTTAGGTCTAGCAACTGCAGCAGCTGAAACTAGAGAGAATGAAGGGCTCAATATCAGCAGGTGGAAGGGGAACTACAGGTACTAGGAGCACATCTGCAGGTGGTGAGAGCACATATCTGGAGCTACACAGTGGTCATTCTGTGAATGAATTCTGGGCTGGCAACTGTAGTCTGACAGAAGATGAAGGAAACCCTGGTGCCAGCAACTGGAATAAATGAGTTGGTCTGCTTCAGCTACTGAAACAAGACCATGGATCACAGGCTTCATGGTCACAGCTTACACATACCAGCTACAGCAGAGAAAGCGGATGAGAAAAACACAGTAAGGGTCTCTCAGCACTAGCAACTGGAGTGGGAGTCACAGGCTGTAAGGTCTGTGTGTCTGGGTACCAGCTGCTGGGCAAGAAGATTTGCATTTTTCCAACCCTGCACAGCTAGTGTGCAGGACTAATTAACCAGCAACCTTCAAGCTAGTCTAGCCAGTACCCAGGCAGCCCAGGCAGGGATATTTGCCAGGACAAGAGCCCATGCTGATATTTGAGGGAATCCATGCAGATAGGCATGCATACAAATACATCAGCTGTTTGCTGCTGTGCATTGACCCAGCTGGATCAATGCACAGCATTGAGTATGAGATCCATGGAGCTCAGGAAAGGGCATTAGACACAGCAAACCTTGGGTGGATGGTTGAGGGGCTCATAAACATGCATGGAGTTGTGAGGCTGCAGAAGGGAGTATGTGCTTTCACTAACGAAGTTCAATCCTGATCAGCTGAAGAGAAGGAAGGAGACTTGGCTGTCTATAGTTATGTTTTATACAAGTTCTGACAGTGTTTTATGTGGGTGTTGAAGATAGCACATGGTGCACAGCAATCTGTATAATCAGCCCTATCCGTACTGTATGTGTCTGTGTATGACTGGTTGGATTCCAAGGAAAAAAGCAGTAGCCACATCCAAGGGCCCTAGTCCTTTGGAACACACCAGCTAGGCTCCAAAGGTCAGACAAGAGGAAGCCCCAGTTCCCGTAATCTGAAAAATTGTAGCAGCCACTTAAAATATCTCCTACCAAGCCTAAAGCAGGAATAGACAAGAATTGCTGGTTAAGAAACCAGCACTGTTAAAAATTTCTTGAAAAAGGCCCACTACCATTGCAATACCTGATTCTTCATCGTACAGTCTGCAAATCCCATCCTACACCACGCTTTTTTAAAAATTAGGAAACTATGAGGGTTACAAATTAACAACTGTGCTCAGTGATTTGTTTTACCCACATTTCCTGCAAGGAGAAAACATCTGTAATAAAGTTTCTCTTAAGAAACAAGGCCTGAAAACTGGTCATGGCATCCAAGTGGTTGTTACCTTGTTTAGTGAGTAGGTCTGACATGGGAACATCAAGCAAAAGGTCAGTGTGGACCTTACTGCAAGAGCTACTGACAGCAGCATCCCCATTTGCTGCTGGAAAGAATGAATGTTATTTGCTGCATCAAGCCAACATCAGTGGTAGCACTGCTCTCTCATTCTGATCGGGTTCTGGCAGCTAAATTCAGAATGTGATGTTTAGCAAGAGTTCAGTGTGTTTCTCCACATCATCACCCTAGCAGTCTCAAGCTGACATATCAATGAAGCAGACCAACAGTGGCACCTGGGCTTTGAAGAGCAGTGTTGACTGGTAAAAAAGCAACAAGTGCAGGCTACTGAAGTGGAATACAGTAACAGGCAATAGCTCTATCTCTGGAACAGCCACAGAAGCCTAGACATGGTTTAATTTAAACAACAGCATTTTAAGACTTTCTTTTCCAATACCAGGGATGGTAGGGAGAATGCAAGACACACTCCTTAAAAGAAATTTCAGGACTCCCTCAGTACTACAGAAATTCTTACAGAAATTAAATAGATACAAGGAAGGAAGATACATGAAAAATCACAATGAATTTGTTCATTGTTGCATTTGTTCTGAACTACCCAGAACTTCAACAAAGTCTGCTGAGATGAGAGTTCTCCTAAGGCATACAAATTCCTCACAAGTAATAAACATAGCACAAGCAGAGGACAAATGTCTCAAGTTGAATGTAAGTTTGAATAGATATTTGATATCTTTGATATAGACAAGGCTCAAATTGTTCTGGTCCACCCGTATCAAAGATGTTTTAATCAAGAATGGAAGATTATGGTGAATACTTTAACACTGTCTAAGGATTCTGCATTACAGGATACTCTTATGGTACTTCATGTGCTTGACACTAAGTGATTATCTTGGACCCCAGAAGAAAGAATATTTCATCTATCTTAAGATGCCACGAGGATTAAAAGAGTGATGGACCTGAAAAAACAACTAGAAAGCCCAACCATAGTGCAAGATGTCAGCCAGAAACATTAAACAAGCAGTAAAGGAGATTGTCTCAACTTCTGTGAACTATCCAAAGAACAAAGCTTTTAACAGGAAAGACCACAAGAGGCCTAAATGTGTCAAAAAAATCCCTCCCCATGTGACTTCCATTGGCAAATTGACCTCTTACCATGGCCCTCCATTAATGCATTTAGATTGGCTTTGGCTTCCATGACACAGAGTGGTGAATGACTGCTGAAAGATTATTGCTGGAACAAGAAAGGTGAAAGGCAAAGAGGTGGTGTAGTGAGGTCAGCAGCTCAGCCATTTCATGGCTGTTACACGAAAGGGAGAGAAGCAGGCATTTCCTTGTCAGCTTATGTGTTGGAAATGCATTGCCTGGCAGAAGCAGTATCTTAGGTTCTGGAGACAACAACTCTATTTCACAGAGTAACTCTGACCTTCTGAGCAAGGTCTGCAGCTCAATATCATCCAAAAATAAAAGGATAAGTCTACAAAAAAGGGTATGAAGTATGTTGAGCATGGTCTTGCCAAACTTTAGGTGCCTGCTGACCTCTTTCTTCCATCTCTTTCAGTCCAAAAGCTCGGTACTAGTTGTCTAAATTTCTTGTACAACATATAGGGAGCTTTGTGTCATCAACTACACCCAGACATAAAATGATGTGTGGCATCTTTCATCAAGCCTACACGCTACAAGGTAGAATTTTGCCCATATTTTGTTTAAGTAAACTTCTGAGAAGCACCCATGGTAAGAATTTGCTGCCGAACTTCTTTTAAAACACAACCTATTTGAACTATCAAAAGTAACAGCTGGGCCATGCTTCCAAACAAATAGCAGGAGAATGAGGGTTTTTTACTTGCCTCAGGGAGTGAGAGATTCTATTTCCTTCTCAGTTTAAAGCTCACATTCCTGCTTTATGTAGCAGGCTGAGCTGTGAAAGCACACAGTTCACCCCTCTGGTAAAGCTAAGCCTCTGAACAGAAAAGAAATAAAGTCAGAAAATTCAATAAGAAAGAGGGATCATCAGTTTGACTCAACACCCTGATCACTCACACAAAAGTAAGTCTGCCTGTTCCCTAGACATACATTTTTACAACAATCATTAGAAAAATACAGACTTCATCAAATCTCCCTGAACTTGTATACAAAGCTCCCATGTGCAGAAGAGGTACCAGCAGTGGCAATCAGTGGGGGTTAAAACCGTCACTGAACAGGTAAGACTTGACCTGTACTATGAAAAATTAATCAGAGGTGCAGAGTTACTTACCTAAGAATGCACAAGAGGAAGAAGAAGGGTCTAAGCCTTTTACAAGAAAGAGCAATTTTCAGAGAGGTAGAAACGACTAATATCTTTAAAAGGGGAAACAGATTTAGCCCTCCTGTTGCCCACTGCAGCAAACAAGAGTTGCTACAGCTTTAACCTTGTGAAGAAGCATAAGGCAGATGAACAAGCAATTTAATAATGCCTATGCAAGTAAAGATCCGGTAAGTGGGATCTGCAAACACAGCTGAAAGGATGCTTTCTCCAGTGACTAGACTAAAGAAAGTAACTGATTTGTACGTCATTTGCCTTTGCATGTAGGTGTAGTAGAAAATACAAAATCACACGTGGTGTGCGCCCTCCATGCAGCTAAATTTGCAACGATGAATTCTGAAATAATCCTGCTACTAGACACTTAGAGAAGGAAAAATACTCAGTTCCTTATAATTTAGAAGTAGCTCAGAAAATAAATCTTATCTGACCATTTGTGTGGTATTTTAAAAATTGGCAAAGGACTAGTACAGCAGAGCTTTAGAACAAAGTAACTCCAACAGTATTATGTGTCAGTAAAACAAATTTTCAGTACATTTTCTAAAAGCTTTAGTTAACTGAGCCTTTAAATAATGTTTAAGGGTTTTTTCCTTCCAAAAAGACACAGCTTAAGGGGCATCTTAGTTCACTGTAAAATCCCATACAACTCCCCACCCCACAGTATCACTTACTAAAGGGATATAGAAAAAAACGTGGTTTTGATATATACACTGGAGATTGAACAACACCAACACAACTTTCCCGAACACTGCTAAGCCATATGGGCTTAGCTTTCACACACTTCTCTACGAGCAGTGCCCAAACTCCAGTTTGACACAGCACTGAACCTATAGGCATCAGAAGAATGAAAAGTTGCCCACTTCCAAAATGCTTGCTGTTAGTAGTGCTATCTCTGTATGCTGTATAGCTGCATGGATTACTAAGGGAAATTTGTTTATAGCTTCCAGTTAATATTGCCTGAAGGTTCACCAATGATAAATTACTGACAGTAAGTTTTATTGCACTTGTGCTGACTGAGTTAAACAGCTCTGAATTCTTCTGGGGCAAGAAAAACCTGTATTTCCTAATTCAGAAAAAGCTTTTAAGAGACTATATTGACTCATCCACTTATGATTCTATTTATGCATTAGATGACAAAGATGACTGTTTTAACTTCTTGCATTTCTTTAAAAAATGTGATTCCAAGACAGTCCTGTGTCCAAGACTCTGCACCTTGTATGTTCTTCCACATAGGCTTCACATGGACAATCACAAGTTTTTACTGTCACTCTCAATACCCTGTCTCAGACTTCTGATTGGGCTGCAAGTAACATTTCCATGCAATACATGGCAAGAAGAAGAAAGAGAGCACTCAAGTCTCTAAAGTCATCAGTCATGAAGTCTCTTAATTGTTTTAATTAATATTTGTGCCTTACAATACTTAGCAAGTTTCCAGTATTTTACACCAGCCAACACTGAACGTGCTTTTTAAGCGCCTACAATCTAACTAAAATACCAGCTGACAAGGAAGTGCCTAAGAACTCTATATGCCATTACATTTTCCTGCTACTTATATTTCTATCAACATAAATTTATATGGGACAAGAAAAACCAAAGCATTTTATTCTAGAAGTTGCCTGACACATCACATAAATGATTTTACCTTTTTGTTCCCACTCTGTGGTTTGGGGCAATGTCAATTGTGTCTGTAGCTGAATCGTGCCTAACTGCCAATCCCAGGTCTGCAATGCAGCATGTTCCATTCTTTTTCACCAATATGTTTTTAGATTTTAAATCTCTGTGGGCAATCGCTGGTTTGCCTGTAAGGGAAAAAACAGAAGTTGTACAAAAACCCCAAACCAACCTCCTTTTATTTTAAGCCTGGTGCAAGCTTCTGTTTGAAGGAACAGAATTCCTTCTGTTTGAAGGAAAACTTTATGTGCACCAGGGTACCTCCTGAAATCATTCATTGTAGATTGTCTGGCTGTTCAGGAAAGTGCCTTTCATGTTTACTGTATCACACCACACTTGCTCCTTTCCCTCTTCCTGCAAGTATTTATTGCACACACATCCTACTCAAACATTGTCTCAACTCAAAGTTTAGAAGGTGCTACATGTACCATTACTTGGTGCCTTTTAACAGGTATTTTGTAGGAAGGATTGATACATCACAATACCAACACCAGAGAAAAGAAGGCAAAAAGCCTTTCAAATTAAGAAGTTCTGTGAATTTGGAAATCATCACAGAGTAGAACAAGCTACTTATGTGTCATTAAAAAAACCAAAAAACCAACCAGTATTAACCACATGACAAGCAGAATAATTCTAAGATTACCTTGTGTGCCAACAATTTCCATGTGCAGATGAGCAAGACCACTGGCAGTGGACAAAGCTAATTTTATCATTCCTTCCACTGTTACTGTATACCTGTTCAGGTAATCAAAGAGTGATCCATGCTCGTGATAGTCTGACACTAACCACAGCTGAGTCCATGTACCATTGTCTGCAAAATAAAACTGGCATGAATACCACACATACACACGTGACAAACACTATGTTCCAATTCTATACAACACTTACGAAGTATAAATTATGGTCTGCAAGTAACCTCTGTAAATTAGACTCTTACTATTAGGCTCTTCTATTCCTGTAACATTTTAATGCCTCTGCAAAGGCTGATAATACCATGGGAGAGTTTCTGAAACGCTTAGTGACTATTGTATATAAATTAAAACACAAACCATAAAAAACTGATGTCACTATAATTCTGAGGTGTATATTCAGGGTGAACTGCCCAGGGTACTAGCCAGGCCTTGCCTTTCCCTAGGTTTCCTGCTAGAGTGGAGCACAGGGAACAGTGCTGAATGCATGATACAAAACTAATCCCAGCACAATACTGTCCATGCTAATCATAAAAAAAAAAAAAAAAAGGCAGCATTTCAAACTTTGCTCCGTAACTTCTTCAGTCTTCCCATAACATATCAGACAATTCCCACAGTGGATTTTTCCTCCTAGAATAGAAGCTTACAAGCAGCAATCAGATACAAAGTTAAATCCCACCTCTGATGACCTCTAAATGGAGGTTTCCAGAAGGCACAAGGGTAAAGAAAGCAAAAAAACACTGAGGAGGATATCAGTTTGCTGTATGACTTTTGATTGAACTATGACAAACAAGATGGGCCACAATACATTCAGAGCTGTCCCAAGGCATACAAATGACATATGAGAACTTAATTGTTCATATTACTAAAGCAGTGACAAAAAATACCTTTAAGTTTAAGCCACAGAAAGAACATTATCAAAGGAATTCAAATCAAGAGGGGAGCAAAAGTATTTTTTACCTAAGAAGCAGAAATATATCTAGGAAAGAACAATCCTGCCACTGAACAGGTTTTCCAATTTTGTTGTTATAAAAGCACCTCTTCTGTGGTAGACTTGAAAAGCATTTTCATAGCCAGCTAGTTTTACAGAACAATCTTTCATCTCTTTAGAAGAGCAGTTATCCCATAAAAGACATCTGCTAGACTCCTAGCCTGAATTATATAGCCCCTATTCCCTCAGAACAAGAGAGAACACTCAGCACAAGTCAAAAAGATGTCTCATTATGTGATAGTCTCTAAAGATGGCTCAGGAATATGACGAACATGAAAAAGGGAAAGAAGTTCAGAACTTACTTCCTATTGCAAACATACTGAAAAATTTTTACTTTCCAAAGAACACACCTGTCGGAAAGCCAGAAGCACAACACGCCTGCTCTACAGATTGACAGAAACTACCTTTATAGAAACACTTGTGCTTATCTTTAACTTAACACTTTGGTGGTGGTGGGCAAACTTGCAAACATCCCTTTTATTTGGATGTTTTTAGGGAAGTCAGTGATGCCATTAAAAAAATCTAAAAATAAAAGACAAAAATCAAAAAACCCACCAAAATGGAAAGGCCTCCAAATACTTCAGGGTAGGAAAAAGACTAATACACATTCAAACAATCCCCATAATGGAAAGAGAACTCTGGCTTGCTACATTTACAGAATAGTCTCAATTAAGTTGTTTAAACAGGCAAAAAAAAAAAAAAAAGAAAAAAAAAAAAAAACCAGTCACATACTCCAACCTGTATAAGACTGGTAAAATGCTACTACTGCTGCAGGAAGCGTCTTTTATGTCCACACAAGTTTTGCCTTTTTTTTAAAGGAACAAGGAAATTAAAAATTTTTAAAAAATTATCTTCAATTATTTTCTAGTTACAAGCGCTGCATTTCTTGCTACTTGGCAATATCCAAGCACAAACTCAGAGAACTCAGCACAGCATTAAATGCGACTGTCTCCTAAGAGAATCAGGGTCTCTGAGAAATCAATCCAACAGTACTGGCTTCACTAAACTGTCTTACAGAACCATTAGAAACATTTACGAGTTCACAGGCACAGAAAAGATGCTCTTAAATACACAAAGAGCGGCCGAAGCTCCGAGTAAACTAACCTTATCACATGAGAACATTTTCTTCACTCAGTTTTGTTCTATGCTTCATCAGTTATGACCCTACATTGCCTGAAATAATCCTCTCCTGGGCATTACCATCATACACACTCATTACTTGGTCCTTTATTTTATTTCTTCTCCTGTTTCTTAGAAGTGGCATACCTCAGCAGGTGTCTGTAGCAGACACTTAGCTGTAAAGAGGGAAACAAAACTAATTTTAATTAGTCTACCAGACCTATTGTGTTTAAACAGCTCTATAAAAGATGTCCGTTTCTGAAGAACTATCACAGCTTTGATTCAAGACTATGGTGCCTTTGCATAAAGTTCCTCTCTTCTTAACACTACATTTCCTCCTAAGAGGGGAATATGCTGCTGGTTACAGACTCTTCTATTCATCTTTATCTTGTGTATTACCTGCAAGTTTTCATATTCAAGCTCTACCTTCCTTCCAAAGAAGAAATAAAAGCTGGGCTTGCCATCCAGTCTGAGAAGAACCATGATTCTTTCCTATTATGTGCCATATTGTGACCCTTCAACGAGATTTTAAGAAGGGACAGTGCTACATCAAAACTAATTATATAAATAATTACAGGCAAGCTCAAATGCAGCAATAGGTCCAGTGTCCAGCTATCAGAAGGGACCTACTATGTTTTCCTTGCCACATTTGACAAACCATACATTTGTTTAGCACTCTAAGCAGAACACGCTACAATAAACTTAAGTCTTCTTATTCTGTTGACAGTAGTTGATTATTACCAAGCAATAATTAACCTGACCTGTAAAATACCCGAGTATTTTTAGCTGCAGAGTAAACAGCATCTGCCATGAAGCTTTCAATCACAGGATTTGCATTATCAGGTAGGAAAAAGTAATTATACTCAATAGTAATTACATACAGTAGCCCAGCTTTCCATGATTAGGTAATCTAATTTAGTTTATGCACTCACAATGATCAAGAATCTCAATTTCAGAATATTCAAAATTTACAAAAAGTTTATATGTGTTATTGGAAACATATTTAAGAGATTAATTATGGTTATTTCAGCTATTTCAAGACACCTGAAAGCACTTCATATCACCAAGAACACTCAGAAGTAAAAGATTTTAATTTTTAACTCCAAATAATTATTGAAATTTTGAGAAAAGAAGCTTTCAGATTTGTTGTCAGGCAACTGATTACAGCTGGGAAAAACATTACTAATGCTCAAGCAAAATCTGTCTTAGTAGAGCTGACTCTCTGAAGAACGGTATTTATACAATTGTATTTATACAATATACCATATATCAAATACATAATCAAGTTTCAATTAAAATTCAACTGACTGGAATCACTAAAGTGAAAAATGTTTTGGTTTTTTTTTCCACATCAACACTAGCAAAACAAAAATGTTTACTGTGGTGTTATGTAGCAAAGTATTTCAAAGCAGATATTTAGCCTTTTTTGGCACATAGATAATGTAATATCAGGGGGGAAAAAACCAGGAAAAAACAGTGAAAAGAACAGATTCAGATGGGATCTCCAATGAGAAATCTCTTAGAAATGAGATATTCAGGGAGATAGCACTTTTGTCAGTGACTAGAGCATGACTGGTGTCTTGTTAGCATTAACAGCTTGACTCTATCATGTTGATACAGTCATCTGACTCAATGATGAAAAGCATTTGAGCTCTGCAGATTCCTTCTCAGGCTAAAGCCAGAGCTTCAAAATGAATAAATGGCTGAAATATTACTTCTCAAGAGTCAGGAATTCTGCTCATTTCTTTGAAGCATATTGTTTAACATCACTTTTGGGGATCCACTTACCATGAAAGGTGTTCTGACTGAATCAAACTATCATACTGGGGAGTGTGCTTCCAGTTAACGGGAAGGAATGGAGAAGTCAACGTATTTTAGTGCATGAAGTTATCTGGAAGTGTGCAGTGCAAGACTTCACCTTATTTTAATCTGCCTACAGACAGTCAAGATTACAGCCAGCTAATGCAGAGAAACATTTAATACTGTGAACTGTGGTTCCTGACACTACTCTTTTGCTAGAATAGTAGAGTTAAGTAGTCCCTATGCACTCTAACTTCAAGTAACTGGGTTAGAAAGAACAACACAAAAAACCATGCACAAAACAAACTGTGTTTAGATGGTACAAAACAAGACAACACATGACCCTGAAAGTAACTTCCCTGACCTAGCAGAATTTGGAAGTTAGCACATACTCACTATGCAAAGAACTACCCAGAACACAGAAGAGCTTGTCAGGCAGACCACAACTGCAATTAAAATAATTCATTGCTTCTCAGCCCTCAAGCTGTCTTAACTGTAGCACCTATTTCCCAGTAGATTACAGGATGGGAAGCAGACAGATTGGACCAGGTCCTGTAGCCTTCTGAACATGACACAGGTCTGGGGAAGTAGGAGAACGTGCCATTAAGGCACATGGACAGTCTGAAGAGTGTGGTAGAAAAAGGAGTGAAGACAGCAGTTCAGTCACAAGCTCTAATCTAAACACACCCTCCTACCCAAAGGAACCCCTTCCACCAATTTTACACTAAATAGCTAGCCAGATGTTCCTCAGCAGTTGTGAAAAACTGCAGTTGAGGTAAAAGTAAAGACCTTATTAATGCCTTCAGCAGCAGCAAGAACTGAAGCATGCTTTGGTTCTACGGCTCTTTTACTAGACCCTTGCTAATTTTGAAATGACTAGTACTCCGGTATCTCTGCAGTTATTTTTGCAGTACCTCAGACACACAGATTCCTGCAGTCTAATGACTTTGTGCACTCCAGCTACACTGTAGTAACTCCTGAATACATTCAAAAGTCAGCCCTACAGAGAAATGGATGCAAACCATCCATACACATTACTGCTGTGAACGAATACATAATCTTGCACCTGGCACCATCTAAACATTCATCAGTCAGCACCAGCATCTACAATGAAGGACTGTTCCTTAAGCCACTGGAACACTTTGGTGTTCTTAAGTCATTGTTCTAAAGCCATGCTGTGATACACCTTCTCCTTTTGGAGTACCATGATAGTGCACCTGCTAAACAGGGAGAACTACCCCCATAATGGTCCCTCTATGCTCTCTCGTTTAATGGGATACAGGTGGCCTGAAGTATTCTAAACAAGAATTGAAATATTAAACCTCCTTTAATATTCAGGACTGAATTCTTAGCCCAGGGAGCAAATTGTGTGTATATATCTCCTCATTGAGAGAACGTAGAAGGTTATACTATGAATTAATTCTGCACTGATGGGTTAAAAACAACAACACAGATTTCTGCATCTGCTCAGACAGCAATACTGTTAGAAAACACAGTCAAGAATAGTGGCATTTTCAAAGCACAATTTTATCTATTTTTCAAAAACCAGATACCAACTAGCTCTCAATAAAATACAAGAGCCTTACCCTGAAGATCTAAAACCTCAAATAATGCTGTGACCTATCAGTTAAGGATTTCTTCTTTGTGCATAAAGCATATTAACAGAAAAAACAAACTATTTCATATCACATTGTATCATATTACAAGGAAACTAAAGATGACTAAGTCAAATGCTATAGCATCTGCAACATAAACCAGCAAGGAAGAAATTATTTAAAAAACCCACCCATTTAGGAAACCTTCCTCATACCTCCTCTTCACAGCAGTCAAATGTATTTTTGGGACAAACTACCTGGAGGTTTCAGGCAAAATGAGACACTTGTATACTTACAGATGATTTTGTGAAAAGTTACAACTATGCTATTACAATATATTCTTTATACTTTCAAATGAGAAATAGAAGCTAAAGCTTTTGCAGAGATAGCTCTTCATTTACGGCTTTAATGCAGCTGATCTAATTTTAAACTCCAGATACTCACTCCCCTAGGCCAATCAGAGCAAACTCAAGCTCTTGCAGGTGCTGGTAATACCAAATACAACTCCAGGCATGAAAATAAGACAGTTTCTCATGGTAAGCATAGTAAGCTGCAGGAAAAAGTTGCCTGGTATGTTATTGATCTGCAAGCTCTTGGAGGATAAAAAGTTGCACAAATATCTGTTAGGAGCAAGTTAACTTACATGACCCTTTCCTGGAGAAGTGTTTTGCACAATCTCTTGGATTCTCTTCCTATTCTACAGATTTATATAGAAACTTGAAATTCATCTAATTGTAATTAATAAGCACTTTACACATATACTTGACCCTCACTAAAACCATTTAGGAATTTCCCTCAAAACTGAGAGCCTTTTAAAAATTCAGCATGTGTGTGAATTATTGACTCCTCCCTAATGTGACAGAATTTTCTGTTAATGCTTTCTTCACAAAAAAGTCAAATGGCATTCGGGGTGAAACATGCAATTTCAGATGAAAATAACTGAATGAAACAGCATCTTAATATCTTAGCTCCTCTTAATGAAAGGAACTCAAAACTTGGGTTTTGTCAGATTCTTAGCTCTTTACTGGAATTGCAGAAAAATCCAAGAAACTTTAATCTGTCCGAAATCACAGCAAATCAAAGTTGAAAAAATGGTTCCTCTAACTGGATGATTAAAGGCTTATCAGGAGAGCTTCAGGAAGCAGGTATAGTTTTTTTCTACTAAAAACAAATCATTAACTCCAGTTTTGCAATAGATTTTCTAATCAGACTTCTAAAAGAATAACATCTTATAACTCAGCCTTAAGAATAAATCTGGTATCTCCTACTTTATATGAGGACAACAGGATGAGACATGATCTCTTTCAGTCCCACACATCTATATTATTAGGCTATGAGGTAACAACAGGTACAAGTATTCAGCAGATGTGTGGGCTCACAGGATAAGGCACCTCTTTTTTGATACCAAAGCATTTTAAACAAATTTAAACAAAGCCTATTCTTCCAAAATAAGAGATAATGTACTTTTTCCTTCATTAAACCTATGAAAAGTGTGCCAAACTCTGAACTCCTGCAGTAACAAAACTATTTTTTGCTACTCTTAAATGGATCCTCACAGCATTTTTTTCCTTCATGCACTGTCTACTCTGACCAGATGCAGAATCAGCAAAACAAATTCATAGTGCCACCAACCTTTGTTGTCTGCAGCTATAAATCCAAGAATGTTTTCATGGCGTAGCATAACTGTCTGATAAATTTCTGCTTCTCGAAACCATGACCGTTCCTCTCTTGAAGAGAAGATCTTCACAGCAACTTCTTCTCCTCTCCACTTCCCCCGCCACACTTCTCCAAAGCGACCCTTACCAATGCTTTCTTGAAGTACTATAGTTCTTGCGATTGTTCTTTGCACAAGTAAAGGTAAACCTAAAAAGAAGATGTTACATTTACCTTAAATATCACACTACAGAATTACTACTTATCCCACACACTGAATACAAGATCCTATTTCTATTAGGGTATTTCTCTTAAAATGAACATACTCTCTAAGATTTTAACTGCTTGTTGAGGGCTGCTAGGAAGCACATAAGTAAGATTCTGCCTTCACTCTTAAAAGGTCAGCTAATAAGTACTCATGGAGATTATGCTATAAACTACTTCTATGGTTGTTAAAAGCACAACACAAACTTTCTTTCAGTTAGGAATGCTGTCACTTGCTGAGACTTAAAGTTTTATTTAAATGCAAAAAAAAAGCAATGATGAAGCAGTCAGGATTAAACCCAGGTTTAGGGGTTTCTTTCGGGTTGCTTGTTAGTGATTAAAGTGAGGTTTTTTTGTTTATTTTTGGAAAAAGGATCTGCCCATACCTCTCCTGGCAAAGCAATTTAAGAGCACTTTTGCTACTGGTTAATTTACTTGGCTTATCACTAGGTAGTCCATTTCTAAGTTAGCTACTTATCAGCAACACCAACTGGTGAAAATCCATACTCATGCCCAAGTGTGCCAAGCATCTTAATAATCCTCAGTCACCGTAAAATAGGAAAACATCCTTGTAACGCAAGCTTCCCACTTTACAGGCCATTCTTGTGCATCCCACTGTAATTATAATTTAGAAAAATGTTTACATTCATCAAGGTTTTATAGCTTTGGAACATTTACATGCTTTCAATATAGAGCACCTCTTCAGTACACTTCAGTAGTTTCATACAACAAGCAGCACTGGCATCTCTCAACCAGGTTGGTCTTTTTTTTTATTTTAAATCTTTCCTGCTGTAACTGCAGGGCTTGTCACTGGATTCTACACTGACACCACACTGTAGGATGAAAACATCAGCCAGGTTATCTGCTTAAGATAAGCTCTTTTGGTACAGGATTATTTCACTTTAACCAAATACTTGACAAAGCAATCTGTTATTCTATAATCACTGTTCCAATATCTGACAGAACACCTGCATTTCCTTATGTTATAAAAAATAAATCCAACTAATAGCTCAGATAATTAATTCTTGTCCACCTTTGGACAGTCTTTGCTAACAGCAGCACTAGAAAGACATCTAATCTGGTTGGCAGCATCACCATGCTTGTGTCTCAGTCTGAGAAGAGCAAATTAGAACACTGCAGTGTTCAGAACACCTCCTCAAAAATTTTAGACCTACAGGAATTTTCTGCATGGTCTATGCTGACAACATACCTACATGAAGACAGGAAGGAAAAAAAAGTGTACACCACATCAGCAATTTAATCATTGTCAAGTGTTGTAATAATTTTTACTGAGAGTTACAACTTTTGCTGTAATAGTCCTCAGGTGAATTGTGCTGCATGCCCAAACTATAGAAGCTCTTCTGAGAAGCCTAATCTTCTTTCCTTATAAACAGACTTTTGAAATGCAGAAGAGGCCAGATGAAAACAACCACAGGATCAAACTAAACCCTCAAAATGTAAAATTTTACTTGATTGTCAGAGAAAGTTTCTTCCTTAGAATTTATGCACTACCGCAAAATCTATATGCATATGTCAAATACTAGCTGATTTTGTGTACCTGAAATGGGTGATAGGCCATACAGTTGTATCACAAAACTGTTTGTATATTCCCACTTTCAGATGAACTACTCTCAACTTCCTCCACCTTTTATAGACATCTCTCCTTATTTAACATATATATCCAAGGATATCAGCTAAACATATACTAACCTCTACACCCTCTAGACAGAACGCATTTCAATTTCACATTACAAACTCCCAATAAGCACATTAACATGTCACTGTAGGATAAAAACCCTACTGTGATGTATCCACTTACTCCTATATTTATTTTTACAATATTTACAAGATTCAACTTGCTTCTGTTTATCTGAAGCTAATCTTGCCCTTACTACTGCTTCTTCTAGAAGATTGGAATCCATATTTATCTTGCATTCATAGCAATTCATTACAGACTTTCTGTTGTAACTGAGCAATTTCCTCATTTTGCTATAGAAGATACACAGCCTTGTATCACCAGGAACTTGAGCAACTGCTGTACTGTAAACCAGACTGCCTGAAAAACATCTCACAGGAGACAGCTACAGCCTCATCCTTTCACATACACATTGGGCATAACTGTACTCCAACCTCTTGGATACACCTTCTTTTAACTGTGCATGAAGAAAGATGATAGCCAGTTTGCCAATCAGGAGAACAAGAAAATTTGAGCCCATATTAAATTCAAGAGCAGCTTAGTGTCTGACACCTTGTATTTAGGTCATCCTTGACACCACGGTCACCCAACTTATTCCTGAAACCTTCATTATCATTTTCTTATATCATAAAGTACCCTCAATCCTTCTGAAAGTCTAACAAAAAAAGAAAGTTCATTTTCTTTTCCATATATTAAGAGTACTCTGATTAGTGCGGTGACTTTCCAATGCATAAGGAGTTTGTAACTAAATTGGATAATTCAGGAAAGTAAGTTCTAGAGTACTACAGGTAGCCAACAAAAGTAGGGGCTAGAATTTTGTTCTTGTTCATAAGTCTCTATAGAGAAGACTTCCTCTGATGACTAATAAAAAAACCCAAAACACTCCATGAACTGTGAAAAATCTTATTCCCTTCAAGCTTGTATGAATTGCAAAATAGTTTTTAAGGAGCTTTATATTCACTTCAACTGACTCAACTTTGCATTGATTTCTGTGACCCTTTAGATTTCTAAATAGCGTAAGTTCCTGCTGGAAGTTGCCTACCAACACCATCCAAAGCTTCTCCTCGTTGTTGGCAATTCTTCCTACTCCTTTGTAATTAAGTGACTTCGTCATTTGTGAGTTAAGACAGTAACAGATGGGCGTCCCCATCTGTCTATTCAATATGTAGTTGATATTTAGAGATCTGCATCATGATCTGAAAATCATTCTCAGCTCCAAGAGGCTTTGAAATCCTTCTCTTAGAAGCTGTAGCTTTGCCAGAAGGGTCTATTTTAGATGTTTCATTAATTTCTTCCATGGAGTATCTCCTTAATTCAGGTCTGGTTCGTCATGGAACAACATGGCAACACTAATGTTAAGTCAAGACCGAATAATTAATAGCAGCTTTAGCATCATTACAGCAAATGAATCCTACTCCCTTTTGGTCTGAATAGGAAGGTCATTTTTAGACTTCTGATTATTTCTCTGTTTTATACACTTCTCATCAGAGAATACTGAATTAACAAAATTGGTAGCATCTTTTTTATTTTACTATGAGCTTTTCTGGTCTCTCAGCATGAATTTAAGAGCAGAACATAGCTTTTGCATCACCAAACTAAACATTTCCTTAGCTGTGCCTCTTGGGTCTGGATTATTTTGCCCATTTTGTATATTTCCATTGTGTTTTGGCAACCTCTTGTCCCAACATCATCCCTTTCAGACAGTTCAGCTTCTGACAGGGTTAAGCACTGACTTTTCTCCCTTTGGAGACCCTTTTCTCTACCCCCAATATATTCCATAAAGGTACAGTCTTCTCAACTTTAAATGTGCTGTACCCAAAGTCTGGACTAAAATACACATTTACATGAGATTCAAATGCTGCAGGCGTATTTCAGGACACACAAAAGTTATCAATTCAAGTGCTAGGGCACTGTGAATTTGTATAGGCATTGACTGACTGATTTTGAGTCAAAGTGACACAAGTCATTGCAAATACACACAATGCCAATGTTACAGAAAATAAGAACCTGAAGCATCTCCTATTTCACTGTCATAATCAAAGTGAAGTAGAGAAAACTAAGTAAGACTAATACTGGTCTTACAAACAGCTCAACAACATGGAACTCACCACAGCTGAAGTTAAAAGATTCCTTTTAAGGAAACATTCAGCCTTGTTTTACAGCCTTTCAAGCATAAAAGCAAATTAGTGAAGAGGCTCCCTTAGGGATATGTCAAATTCAACCACATTTGTTGGTTTTGCTCCTTGGATGCATCCACCAGTAGCCAATGTTCAAATACCATAGTAGGGCAGGTGCTCTGGGAGTCTAGACCAGCCTGAGTGCCCTAAATTCAGCTGTGAAAGCTTAGCAATTCCCTAGCATGCTCCTTTTACTTAAAGGGTAATTTGCAAATAGGCAAGGGAAGGGTCAGTAGTTTCTAGCCATGTGCTCCAGAGGAATAATCATAAGTTTCTTTCAACTTGGATTCTCTGCTTTTCAAGAGCTTATTCTGATGGAGTACTTCCAGAGTTCTCAAACAAAAAGAGAGGTTTGGAATCACTACAGGTAAGAAGGCCAGAAGAAAAAACAGAGGATTATTCTTGATAATGAATGAAAAGACCAATTAACAACTAAGTTTGAATTTTACTTAGAAATTTTTTTCAGCCTTCCTTGGGAAAAGTCCAGATCTACAGACAGTAAGTAGAGAGTGTTACACTTCTAATAGTGTAACAGTTATATATCAAACCTTTCTGGATTCCATGATATGTGAATCTCTGACTCCTCTATGCTATCTATATCTGTGACTACTGCATATCCCTCCTAGAACAAACACAACTAGAGACCTAAGCCCAGCATTTGCATTTATCAAGCTCTAGCCCAATATATTGGAAGTTCTAGTAACCACTTTCATCATCTGTTAGTAAATGAGAAAATGGATATGAACACAAATTACTAAAACTCTAGCTCTAACCAGAGAGCAACTCACCCTTATCGGGATCAAATCTTATTGAACACACAACAGCTTTCTCAGCTGAAACATAACGACCTACACATCTAGTGCAAACTCACATTCTTTAGAAAGGACATAACTAAAATTAATTTTTGATCTAGATTTTAAACATGTTCAGCAAGTTACATTGATTTTACTGACAAAGCAATAGACTCGAAACAGTTTTACCAGTTACTGTCTTTGGAAAAGAAAAACAACCTAGATGCTTGGGTTTTGTTGTTTAAAATTTTTCCAGTTCTGGGGAAAAAAAAGATACAGCAGTTGAGAATCAAACACCAGTCTTTCTTTGTAGAAAGCGTTCTGAAAGGGCATGGATGTTTCAACACATATGTTTGCAAGTAGTAGGAAATATTTTCAATATTAAATTATTTAAATTTTAAATAGTAGAAGGTTGGTAAAAGGTTGCAGTACACAATTTGATGTCTCCCCCCTAACACAGACCAAAGATCAATTCATTTATGCAATGATTTACCTGGCACATCATCCCCTAACAACACCTATTAAACTACATTTCTATGACACAGACCACCATAATCCTATAAGCAATTAATGGTCAGAGTTACAATAGCTGAAACTCTATGCAGTGAACAGACTAATGCCTCATCTTCCCAGAGTAACACCTCTTCAAGTCAGAATTAAAACAAAAAACCACAAAATCAAGGGACAGACATTGATCAGACATGGTCTGCATATTGCATCCATTCTATATACAGAAATGCTATTTGCAATTGAAAAATATCTTCTGTAAGGAAAAAACTGGTAAAATATTAACTCAGAATATTCTTCATACACCAACAGCTACAATTATTTTTTCAATTTCAAGCTAAAGAATACCCTTTACAAAATTATCTAAAAACCACAGAAGATGGTTGTTTAGATAGGCTGAACAGAACAAAAAAGGTACATGACAGCCCTACAGAACACAAAATGTTTACAATAGATGACTGTGATATTCCCTGAATTATATAATTCATATAAATCAGGCTGCTTTGAGAATTATAAGGAAGGGCAGCAACAATTCAGTGATTCTTTTTCTTCACTTATTTCTACACATTCAATCTCCACTGATGTTAACTGAATGTACATGGAAGTTGCTTTTCTAGTATTTTCTCCTGTTAATTAGAAGTTTAAGTAGATTTGACAATATTAAAAAAAAAAATAGATGTCTTACAAGGCTCTTAAGCATAGAGTAATTACTACTAGAAATGTCACATTACCTGACCCAGAACCTGAAGTTGTCATATCATAAATTAAATCCTTTAAAGTGGTTCCTTCTGATATAAAGGGACGATCCAGTGAAGGGTCTTCTTCGCTTGGCACACGATGATGAATTACAGTACGATTATGACAAAGGTATAGAATCAACATCAGTGAAATGCAGACAAAACAGACAGGTCCAGCAATGACAGCAGCCAGTTCCACAGGTCCTAGGTTAGAAGCTGTTTTTTCTGGAGTAGGGCCTGAAAGTTAAAGAAAATGATAAAACCATTAATTTCCTTTTATTATACTAAACTTATAGTATCCCACAGTGATACTCAAATTATTTTAATGCGTTTGTTAAAGCTTTTGCACAGTAACTTTTTTCAGAATCAAAGTAAGTACTAAAAAGGACAAAAGCAGTGTGTTTATTTACACTTTTCATTTAAGTCTTCAAAACTGTCCCTAACATCCCTATCCAGAAGATAAGGAGTCTTGTTCAAATATCATGAAACTGTCTTTACAGAATCTAAGGTGTACTTTAGGCCTTCAAATTTACCTACACTTCCACTCTTACAGAATTTTGTTTGAAAAAATGAAAAAAAAAAAAAAAAAAAAGAAAAAATCCCAACCCCCTTACCTGGTGTTGGAATTGGAAGTTCTACTTTATTGCAGAGAGGTGTGTTACAGCAATGAGACACAGTATGGACTCCATCTCTGGTGGAGGGGGAACAAACAAATGGCCTGTCTCGGGGAATCAGATCAATTTCTGCTATACACATACTGTTGCGCATTATTTTGTCTGCAGTTCGTGTTACCGAGGCAAAACATACTCCATCTGTCATACACGTAAAGTTGTCTTTTGTACATAGCTGGCAGTAACACTCCAATTCTGTATTGAGAAAAAAAAATTAATGTTAGTATGGGTACATGTTCTGAGCTGAGAAGCAATTTGAATGACTAAAGAAATACAAATTCAGAATGCTAGGAGGCTGTTTTGGTTACATAAACACAGAACAGCAACACTAAAAAAAACAACAATGCTACTAGGCCTTTCAGTGGGACAATAAAATTGGGAGATGAGCAGAAGAAAGTAAAATTTAGATCTGAAGTCATGTCTGTATACACAATAATATATTAAAAGACAAAGGCTAAAATCCAAGCTGTTCCTACAGGTAAAGAAGCACCACTACAGTTCCTCCTACAAAAGTTCCAGACTTTCAAAAGAACACCGCATGCAAGACTGCTATTTTCAAACCAAATACAAATGATGCCTTTTTTTTTTTTTGACAATAACCACAGGTACAGCTTGAGTAAGTGCCAAATCAGATGCTGCTGGTTACCCAAGATTAGTATGTTATGCATTACTTGATAGTTTCCATTTTGTGCCAAAAGGGCAAATACCAGCTTAATCCTCATGAAAAACCAAACCCTGCATGATCCTTTCACAGAAGCAGAATGTGGTTTAGACTTGTTATTTATGAAGCCACACAAAAACACTCTCTTACATTACTCAAGGTGGTGATTTACTAAAGCTATCAATTGCAATAGTAAAGGAGAGAGCATGGGGAGGGAAGCAGGAATGACAGGCTAATCACTCTATGATGATCAGGCTTCATTCTTCACATTGCAGAAGTTCTTGGAGAAGGAAGACTACAACTTCTAATTTCTTTCTGCACTCCTTCCTGCACCAAAGTTATGCAGAAAACGGTGCAGGAGCAACAATATCAACACATCTTGATCCACCTGTTCAACTGTGAAGAGCAAAAGCTGGCCTAGAACTTGTGTACATGCACACAGAAAAATTAAAATACAGAACTTACACAAATTTAAAATCTTCAACATTTATGATCGAAAAGCAAAAAATGTCCTGAGCCATAAAAATAGTCTCTTTGAAGGCTACATACAAAAGCTCACCAAAAGGATGAGGATTAACAGGTGGCAATCAAAAGGTCCCCCAAATATGAAATCTGGTGTTTCACCTATGTTCAAAAGTTTAATATAACCACATGGATTGCCTTAGATTTTACACCTCTCTCTGTCACTGGTTATCATGGATTTAAATAAATGGCAATCTGATCTCAAATACATATGTATGTAATCTCAAAGTTTGAATCCTGAGAAACATCCTCTTAAAACATCCCCTTCCCCCAAGATTTTGAATCAAAGCACATCGCTGCCAATCATCTTCTACTGTTACTGAAGAGATCTGATCAAATTCTTAGGACCCAGTATAGAAAGATAACCTTGTTTCAGAGAGATTCACCAGCACACAGACCAGTCAGAAAAAGGGAGGAAGAAAACCCTACAAATGAGATTTGATTTTTTTTTTTATTATGAAGATTATTGAAGAAAATAATTAGAAGGTAGATGAAATGAGAACTGGCATTCAGGAAGGTAAAGCTTAACAGCATCACTTTTTGCACACCTTTCCCTGCCTCATCAGGGAAGTAAGGAAAGTCTTATTATTCGGAGTTTAACTACAAGAAAATGTAACATTTATTTTCATGTTGCTGTCCCTTTGGTAATTCATGCTTGAACAAATATTTTTCAATATATACAAACCATTAAAAGTTTCCAAAAATATTTACACACACTATTTCAACTTTTAAAGTGAGCACACCTTTATCTCACCTGCTTAATCTGTAACTTTTTTCTACTAGACAGTAATTGTGGCTTATCACAACTGCACATGCATCTGAATGCCTACAGCAAGAGACAGATATTGAGTGAGATATATTTACATGGAGTCACTGTGCAGAGGCCAAGTTACTTGAGGTGAAAAATTACATTTGGGTTGTTCTTGTTACACTTATTCATCTTCCTCGTCATGTGAGGCTGTAGAGACACACTGTTCCAACCATGACTAAATAAAGCATTTTGTGTCCTATCTTCCTCATTCACTTTGTTCCCACCTCTCTTTTGCTACAGAATTCCCACTTAGTGCAATTTGATAAAATCTACACTTTTGTTCTGGTTGGATGCCACTATCTTCTCGTCTCCTGACGAGACACAATTCACTGTCACACACATCGGAATGATTTCCTCAGCATAAATAAATCACTACTCCCTTTTGAAGCTACTCTCCCCCTCCCATAAGAAGGGAAAACAATGCCTAATCAGCTGAATAGCAAAGCTTCTAGCAATACAGGTTTCTGCTGCTCTCTAGTGGACACACTCTTAAAAAAACCCAACAACTCATCAAAAATGCTTCAGCCCCCTTCCTACTCTGGCCACTTAACAGTTCTTCATGCCTTCCAACTCGAGCAAGTAACGGTAGAATTTCCACGTTTTAGTAAAAGGTAGAGTAATTCAGCATCTTCAGCAACAATCCATACCAGAAGGCAGAAATAAGGAATTGGAATATCCTTGCCCACCTCTCAATTCTCCAGTTATCTGTGTGCAAATAAAATAAACTACAACTACACAAACACATCATAAATGAGATTTAACATCAGCATGAGGTGTCAATGACCAACTATAGTTACATCACTTAATTCCTATAAGGAAGTGTTTTCACTTATAGCTGATATAAAAGAAAAACAAAATCCCATATTGTTGTCCTCTTAGAGATAGAATTTTTTGCTTTTCATCCAAGTAGTCTCTGTTATTCCCAAAGAGATGTTACAGTAATTTTAAAAACTCAGACAGAAGCCAGTCAGATTTCCATGTTCACTTTAATGAATACATACATTTCTAGTATTGAATGACAACAGAAACGGATGAGAAACGGACAACTCTGATGTAAGCTGATCTTCCAGAGCCAGTAATCTCTCAGGTAAAACACATTTCAATGCATTTGGTAAACACTGTTTAAATCTACTACCACAAAAAACACTTTCAAAACTACTGAAGAAGAGTAAAAAAGTTTTCAATCATGTCTGTCCTTGGCAGAGAACTATATTTTTTTAAATTATTGTAAGAGTTTTTGGATGAAACAACTAGCATGAAACTCCACTACCAACTAGTGAAAGTTCATGTTTGTTTAAATGATAGAAGGTTGGGGATATGACAGTACAAATAGCTAGACAAATGCACTGGAAGTCATACAGACAATCAGGGACATAGCCAAGAGCAGAAACTGGGTCAACACAGCAATGTAGCTCCTTGTGCATTGCATTTTGTCACTGCACCATTACCACTCTACATAGTAATTTCTGCTTTTTGAGACTGACCATCTTAAAATAAACAGTGAGACAATGCTGTTGTGAAAGTGGGGGTGTGTGCATTATGACATTATCATGTCATACAAGTTATCAACAGCATATTTCTCGTATCTCATACCACAAGATTAACATCTTGTGTTGAATACCATTACTTGTGTAGTTGCTCAAACTCTGAGTTTGACAGTTTTGCCTTTCATTTACCAAGTCTCTCTTGCATGAATGTTGCAGTCTGGAAAGCCCCCAGTGAGGGTAAAGCAAGCTGGCTGCATAAATGAAACCCTGAAATTATGCAGCTTGACACGACTTAAAATCAGCTAGCTCCCAGGAGCTCAGATATTAACACTATACACAAAATGTGAACAGAGAATTAAGTACACTCTAACCACAAAACTGTTACAAATCTGTACCAAAACCAGACTGTTACCTACTGAAACAGTCTTTTTTTGTATCTGTTGTCTTTCTGAAGAAAGAAAATTGCAGAAAGACTTTTTTTAGTTACATAAAACACTAGGAATAACTACATAACATGTGTTTACATCCTGCATCACTACTTCCACCAGACAGTCTAGTGCAGAACACCACCTTCAGCCAAAGAATTTTAGTTGGAAATTGTAAGTTGAGACATCGGCTTCCAAAGAAAGGATGCTAACAAGGAGCAGTACCAAAGTTAAAATTTGTGGGGTGCTCTAAAAACTGCAAACTCACATCTTACTGCAAGCAATTAACAATTTTATATTGTTAACACTTCAATAATATATGTCTTAGCTTTACAAATTAAAGAAAGACAAAGAGCTGCAGTACCCAAATGCAACATTTTGCTGAAAAAAATACTTCTCTTGTGGTATTATAAGTGTTCCTACATGGAAAATACAAATTTTGAAGCAAAAATTTCACTAGAAAGTAGAACTTCACCAGAAGAGCAATCACAATTCTTGGTTCCAAAAGATGCAGAGGTTCAAGGGATAAAGGAGCTAGGCTATGATGCACAAGAGACAAAAACAGATTTTTAGGTATATGAGCAAGAGGGCTGTAATGCTCACTGATAGCTCTTTCCCTGTCCAATAAAACTTGTCGAAGGAAAAAAACCCATAATACATAACAGTGCCAATGTCAACTTCTGTAATTCTGACAATCCCATCAAACAATACACCTGACTCATCTGTGAACTCTTTTAGCTCAAGACACAAAAAGGTTTAGGTCTTAAAATATTGGGACATAGGTACAGTTTTTAAATCCTCAATAGTTCTTGACCTTCACTAACACATTCTTCTCACAAAGGCACTAATTGAGTTTCACTGTTGTAAAGTAAGAGCACTGGGTATCAAGTTTTCAGGAAAACTTGCACATAGATTTCAGCCATGTTTCAGCCATGTTTGTTAAGCAAAACTTCCTTCCTGCAAACAGCAGGTCTTGTCAAACAAAGTGATGCACTCAAGAAAACAGACGAACTATTTGTGTAAAATCCCAGCTTCAAAAAAGTGATATTATATTCCCCGCAATGTAGGTGCCAAATGGCACTTTTAGTTTTCTTGCCCTCTATCCAAAACACTACCCAAAGATATGTTCATGCCTCTTAGAACATTATACAGTAACCATTTGTTTCCTGTTTGGTAGAAGAATATTCTTTAAAAACAAACAAACAAACAAACAAACACAAACAAACCAACCAAACTAACTGAAGAAAGCTAAAATTAAAAGCCCAGATAATAATTTTGCAAGCATTATGAAAACAGAAAGATCATTACTAGTACTTTTAAATTTATTCCACCATATCAGATTGCTATCTTTATTTGCAGTTAGAAGCAACTGTCTGAATACAAGAGTTTCCAAGTGGTGACTTCCCCAAACTTCAGAAGACTAAAGACTATGGCCTACACAGTGAAAACCACAAAGCTTATTTTCAGACTCTGTCTTAAAAATTAACTGTTCAGCTAGCTGCTGGGATTCATTACATGCCTGACCTCTGTATAAACCATGTTGCAAGACAACTCATCCACACAGTAACATCAGCACATTGCAGAACAGCCTTAGCAGAGGCAATCAGAAAATGCCCAACTTCTGTCAACCCACAATAAGAGGTACTAGTAGCCAAATCATACCTTGAATTACTTTATCAACTTAGACTACAATGTTCAGGCAAATTAAGTGCCTTACCCATACCAGGGCCTCTGGATGAGTTATGGATCAGGAACCCTGGATTTCTCCTGATTCCATTGAACACAGAAGATTTCTCTTTTTTTAAACAAAAGATAGTAGGCCACCACTTCCACCCATAAGGTTTCGTATGGAAGTCTGTTGCCTTTTTTTCACACAAAGCTTTTAGACCTTAATTTCATGCCCCAGATTAAGGGACAACTGTTGACTGATGGGAGCCACTAAAAGGGAAAAAGTTCAAAGCTCAAATTGAGCTAAAATTTCCTTCAATATCTAAACTGAATGCGTTACGTAAGAAAGCTTTAAATTATTAAAGCCTGCCACACCTTTTCAAGAATACAAGAAACTTATTGCACTGTTTCCACATCAGAGATTCTGCACTGCCTTCAGTAAGAATATGGGTGATTAACACTACATGTTAGTATAGCAAGAGATGCTTTAAGTAATTTTTTTCTAGCATGAGTACTATTTTAGACTGAATTATGTACAGCATGGTGTAGATCCAGACTGAGGGATGTCTCAAAGCTGTAACTGAAAAAGTTGTGGTGCTTCTCCACTCCCTCTTTAAAACCCAAAGCAATATACAATCCATTAGGCCATATGTCCCAAACTGCTAACCATGGAACAACCTGAACATTTAAAAAAAACAAAACGAAGAAAGAAAACTACCCAAATCTTGTATTTATGATGCTGTTAAGCACTCCAATGTTTCATGCATTAGCTCTGCAACAGCACAGCTCTGATACCAAATCTCTCTCACAAAAAAACACAGGTACAGGAGACCGGAGGAACACAACGGTTTCACTGTACAACATTCACCCAAACATTTAATTTCCACACGGCTCGATCCTCACCGAATACACAGGCGAGGGCGTGCTGGACCAGAAGTTCACCTGTCCCCCCACCACCGCGACAGCAGCACACGGTGCTGCGGCGTGCAGCACAGCCGGGGCAGCCCCTTGTCACCTCCGCGACGGGGGACATTCAACACGTCTCTGCACCGGCCGCTCCTCCCGGGCACTGCTGCGAGCGCCCTGAGGCGGCCCGGGGGCTGCCGCTCCTGCCGCTGCCGGCGCACCTCGCCCGGGAGCCGGGGAGACAGACGGGAGAGCTCCGCCAGCTCCAGGTACCTGAGTTGCCTTCGCGGGCCAAGGCCACACGCACCCAGCCGGGCAGACATCGGGACACAAAGTTAGCCAGGGCAGACACCGCCCGAAGCGCTGCTCAGCGGGGCGAGGAAGCAATGGCGGGGGCCGAGGGGAGCCCTCCCCGCCGCCCCTCGCGCGGAGCCGCCGCCGCTCCCGGCCAACAAAGGGCCGAGCGGTCCCCGCCGGGCTCGGACACCGGGGGTGGGGGGAGGTGACTCCGCCCCAGCCGGCCCCTCCGCCATGTTGTTGAAAGGAACCGGCGGCCCTCCGCCCCCGCCCCCCCCCCCCCGCGCACTCACCGCCCACCGCAGGGCAGAGCAGCGCAGCCACAGCCAGGCACAGCAGGGCCCAGGGACGGCGCCGCGGCCGCCGAGCGGCCACCGCCATGTCCCGGCCGCGACTCCCCGGAGTCAGGATCCGCCTCGCGACGCGCGTCCGCTCCACCCGCCCAGGAACCGGCGCGGCACTCGCGGTGCGTACGCCCTCGCGGCCCGCTCCGGCCGCGAATGCCACCGACGCGGCAGCGGCGGCGCCGCCTGATTGGTCGCCGCGCCCCGGCCCCGCCCCCCGGCGGCAGCGGGCAGCCCCGACAACAACAGGCGGCGGGAGCGGGGCGCGACCCGAGCGGCCGCGGGGCGGGGCGTCGGCGCCCCCTCCCGGCAGGGCAGGCCCGGACCGGGGGCGTCCCCTCGGCGTCCCCTCGGCGCAGATCCCGAAGGGACTCGCGTGGCGGGCTTGGAGCTTCCCTGCCCCTGGGCGTTCTGAGAGCGCTCGGGCGAGCGGCTGAGGCGCTGCCAGAAGCGGTGAGGGACCCGCTGGCAGCACTGCTTTGCGGAGCCCCGGGGGCACCGGCCCCGCTGGAGGGCAGGTGCAGGAGTCTGTGGGCAGCCCTCGAGTTGCTTCCGGAGCAGAGGAAAGGAGCGGTAGCGGAGGAATTGCTCCTCTCGGGAGGCTCTGCGGGTGGGCAGGCGGACTGTGCGGAACCCCGGGCCGGTCGCTCCTTCCCCGCTCTACCGCTCCTTCCCCGCGCTCCCTGCCAGCTCCCGGCGGCACGAGACAGGCCGGCGCTCCCGCGGCCAGTCCTGCGGAGTCCCGCGGCCAGTCCCGGAGCGGAGGGTTTCCCCTCCCGCAGCAGCGCTGAGCCCACAGGCTTTGTCCCCGTGCGAGGGAAGAGCGGTGCCAGGCGACAGGTGTAGCTGCCAGCTTATTGCACAGTCCGCACGTGACTTCAGAAGTTAACTGGGAGTTGGAGCAAACTCGTCCAGTCCAAATAGCCAAATACTGAGGTACACCTTGAATCTTAAAACCTGGGGCAACTGGGATGTACCTCGTGAAGAAAATGACCGTGACTGAGGTTGTTACTTCTAACCACAGCTTTATTAGCTTTGCATGGATGGCAGAGCAGGAGGAGAGGCTCTCCTCTTCCGTCTTGGGATCAGGTAACCTTTCTCCCAGCAGTTACCTCTTGCTCTGGGAATCCACCGGCCGCACCAGCTCCAATATCTGACTGTTGTGTCCAGATCCTGAATCGGTTCAGATTCTCTCAGCATATGCTTTTATACTCCCTTTGTTGCTTGTTTTGCATGCAGCGTGACCCTCTCGTCATAGGCCAAGTCACGAAGATCAGAGGTGTTTTTCCATATTACTTGCAGTCTCTCTTGCAAGCCCCGTGCGCTGTCTCTAGCAGATGGTGCTTTGCCAGCTCACAGTGTTCAGGACAGTGCTCTCCCCACTCCAGAACCACATTCACTGCCATGGAACGCTGATCTCCTGCCTCCCTTTTACTAGCAGTTATTCAGCCAACACTGCTTTGTTGCTCCTACAGTATACTTCACCTGGATAAGAATCTTGATAATGTCATAGTTCAAAGTGAGGTAAATATTTATTAATTCATTCTCTTCTCCTTTCTCTCTGAACAACGATCAGTGTCATACATAAACACATCCTAGTTGTATTTTCCCTCACCAAATAACATTTTAATGACATGCACTTCATGACAGATGTTGAACCAAATGTCTGGATTTTATATAGATTCATGCTGTAATGAACTACTGAAGCTGACAACACCAGGCAAACACGTTCTTACTTATCCATATGTAGAAATACTTAGAGGGCTAATCCTCAAATAAATATACTAGCATCAGGAAGAAACACTGAAGCACTCAGATAAATTGCTCAAATCCTGAGACAGCTTTTAAATTCATATAGGTCATTGAAACTATAAATTAAGGAAGTTATATGCTCGGGAAAAAAAAAATCCACTATTCATTTCCCCATTGCAGATCTGCTGGGCTTAAGGATGGGTCACAGACCATGTCTCTGAAGGAAGGCAGGGACCAGTAAGCAGAGCATGGTGAAGGATTTTTTTTCATAGCTCCAGGTTCAGTCCTATGGGAAACATTTTTAATTAACATCCTGAGTGACATTTGGCTGACAGACACAGAAAAAATTAAAATAAATCAATAACTTGCAGGTAGCAACTCAGCAGCTAAGATAGATTCAGATCACTTCCAATAGTGCCACTACAAAGGAAATATTTTTTTGCCAGGCCTCACTCTTCTTTTGTATTACTCATGAGGTAAAGACAACTACAGAAGAAATATCTAAAATTATGTCATCCCCTGTCCTGATCCCTGATCCCTCTCTGATCTGATATGTTAGATTTAAAAGCCAAAGTAAATGTGGGCCAGAAGCAAAGCTACTGAAATATGTTCTGCATGTCCAGAATCTCCCCTTGGAAGCTATGCTTCCATGTGTCCAGATTCTTAGGACTGCAGCTTCTGGTCTTGATTAAGGTGGGGTCTAAGAACTTCTGATTATGATACAGACTCTTGATATTCAATGGGCTCTGGTAAACATCTGGGTCTTGTTCTTGTTGGCACCTTCCCCTGTTAGCTTCCCCTTATCACTGTAAGATTCTACCTTGTATTTTACCATCATCTTTCTTCCACTCTTACTTCTGCTGTCAGTTCCCCTTTTCCAACATTTAGGCCTCCCTCTTCCTTCTTCTGAGGTTCATAACTGCTTCTGGTGCAGCAGGGGTTTGCTCATCTAGGTGGTATCTGGCATCTTTAGGAGGGCTGTAGGAGAGGTTGGATTCACAGGTCGAGATGCAAATTAATTAATGTTACATGTCCTGTTCGGTGACAACAAAATCTGCCTTTGTTTTTGCTTTACAAAATAGAGCAGTTAAATAAAAATAACAAACTGAAAATGATGGCCTGAAAAGATTTAAATCATTGGTTCCTTCCTATTTCTGCAAACAAATTGAATGCCAATCCAAAGGAAGTGAGGAGATCTTGATGCTCACATCTGATTATTTTCATCCTGTAAACATGCTAGTTAGTCAAGTGAGGCTAAGTCAGACAATGACACAGTCAGTGAAACAGTTTCCAAGATATGCCTTTCTGTAAAGTGACATTTTGTTTAAGAAGAAAATAACTGTTCTGTTATCACAGATTCTTCAAAATTGCAATAATTGCTTGGCCTTTCCTGCCAACAGAGTGTGGAAAAATAATTTCACAGTACAAATTTGCCAAGTTCAATAGAAAACGATGCATGACCATTGTATGGTTATGACATTCTAACTGGATGAATTAAATATAATTTTTCAGTATTTCCTGTAAAAGAACACTTAAAAGCACTTACGAACTGCAATCCTCAGTGCTTACTGAGGATGGAAATAATGTCATCAGTGGACACAAATTTAAAAGAACAGGCAACACCCCCCCCATTTTTCCCAGCCTCATTTTTATAATAAACTAATGAATTTATGACATAATTATATTCCAATTATAGAAATATGCAACAAAAGTAAATTTTTTTTTAATGCAAGGTAAAACACAAAGCAAGATGACACGGAAAAAACAAATGATCTGGATTTATGAGATTTGTTTAAATCATCAGATTGGTTGGACAGATTTGAAAAATCCAGCTTTTTAGAATGAGTAAATCAAGTTATTACACAGAGAATACCTTCAATTTAAACACTGATTAATTTCTTTCTTCTATACTAGAATGTGACAGTCTTACACATGTGCAGCACCCACACGGAGAGAGAATGAAATAATTAATCTTTACCTAGTGCTACTTTTATTTTCTGCAAGAATTCTTGTCAGTGTATGAACACTACTTATATCTTTTCTCTTCTGGAAGATGGAAAACAAAAGAATTGCAACTGCATGAAAGTTTCAAATGGAACTCTGTACTTCTGGAACTCCGTGCTCCACAAAGTAAGAAACTATGTAGGGCATTGAAATAAAAGACATTTTGGAAAGGGACAAGTGGATAGAGAGACAATTATACAAACCAATTTGTTCTATAGGTTAGTCTTTGAGACAGATCAATGATATGAATAATCTTGTATTATAAGCTGATTTGATTCCAAAAATGGGTGCCAAGAAACATTTTTTTCCTTAGGTTTTAAAGTAAAAATATATGGAAGTGTTATAGGAAATAGTACGTATGGTGATGACTAAAAGTTTCATTTGTCTTTTGGTGTAAGAGGTACTGTACTGGGTAATAAAGAATCTCTCACAGTATATGCACAATTAGTGCTAAAGCAATAAAAAGAAAAACACCTTTATTTTTATTGCTTTATCACTAATTGCTTTAGCACTAAACTAAATTTTTACAGTTTTCTATCCATGGTAAGTAGCTAAATGTTATGTTTGTTTGTTTGGAAGAACTGGACATGAGTCTATCAGTGCATCATGATACTTACAAATTACTTTCACCAAGGAACTCAGCAAGAGGAAAAGTACTGAATGTGTAACATTTACCAAAATAGAATAAGTTATTGATAAAACCCCAACATTGCCCTCTCCACCTAGTCCTTGATTTTTCCAAACAGTTTGACTCAAACTGGAACAGAAAATATCAAAGTGCTTATTAGTGTGCAGTTTCTGTATGTACGCAAACCAGAAAGTTTCACAAAGGCCTGTGATCTTTCTAAATCAGAGACAAGCAAAAGGAACCACTTTTTTGAAGTCACTGCTTTATAAAACACTCAGAATTACTCATTTTATATAGCCCTTATAAACATTGCCTGATTTGACTCATCAGTGTTTCCAGAACAAAATACTGTGAGATCTTAGTTATTAAACACCCAGTTAATCATCTCCTTTAACTGAAGGCCAGTTACAGCTTGAGATGTATGAAGCCCTTTTTGCTTTTAATTCACTGTGGAACACTTTGTATCCCTGAGTTATGAGCTGGGCAGCCCAGCAATGCACACAGGAACACAGCTGCTTGATGCCTGCAGCAACAGCCACCTTATTTCACAGATAATGGATTTGTGGACATCGCAGTATCCTAAGTTCTTTAGGCAGATCTCAGTGACAACAATTAAACCCCTTAAATGAGATGTTTCATTCCAGCTTGTAGAGTCCATCAGCTGCTGAGCTGGTTTATTACATGTGTCCTAGTGCAGCTTCACTTGAAATCAGGTATGATCTATTCACACAGATGTTGATGGTAAGTCTCCTTACAGAGAGGTCT